CGAACCAAAGACAAAACAATTTGCGACACAAGTATATATCTTGAAAAGATTGCTCCGACATTATTATTCATATTTCATTTAGTTATCTTTCAAAGACATTTAATAGAACAAACTACTGACTGTGTATGTGCTCTCCCAAACACGGGACCTCCATTTAAAGTCGTATCCTATCCGAAACTAGGTACGAATTTTCACCTGAGTAAAGTGAGGAAAGTCGAGTAAAGTGCCTTTCCCAAGGGTAAAACGCCGGGGCATGTAGGTAGAATCGAACCCAGGACCCATGGGTTCCGGGCCTAATGCCCCACCATTACGCCGCATAAGTGTTAGACAATCTCACACTGCCAGGGGCGAACTAGTCAGTATGACGCATCGATGGGCCATCAGGTGTTACAAACAGGTGTATAAATGTGACGTTTATGTAATTTTTTTAAAATGTTTAGAAATGTAGCATTATGACAGTAAACATTGGAAAAGCGTCATTGTCGTTTTTTCCCAAAAAAATGTGAAATCATGTGGACATTCCAGAGAGGCGTAATTATCCGAAAACTGGAGTGGACCGATTTTGATTGATATGCCTTTGCTGTCCCATAGTGAACAAACATTTCACTGGCACTGCAAAATTTTGTAGCCTGTGTTGTCTTGTTTTTGTATTTGTCTTTGTGGTTTGAGGCGACAACATCAACTTCCTGATAATTCAGTGCTACACTGTACGATTGGGCTGTCTCCCGCCCATTTCGTCTGTAGTGCGACGACGCAGGCTCGCCCTGGCAGGACATGTTGTTGGTAGTAACGAACCAGCTGGTAGACTAAACCAGTGTCTTCCCACTGGGAGACACTGGTTCAGTGAGCTATTGTCAAAACTCTTCAATGCGACAAGCCTTTGGCAAGGATTTGTTATTGCAAAAGTACGCGCATGGCACCTGGATGGCTCCTACATCAGCCTTTCCAAGAAGCCATGCTTCGTTCCTTGACCCTGTTTTGTGCCCTCGCGTCACCAAAATGCTTTGTCTTTTTTCTGCGTCCCCGCGGGCTATGCTGTTACGAAGGTAACAATTTATAGCGTTTGACGTAGTCATTTGACGTAGTCATTTTACGTTTGACGTAGTTATTAGCACGAAATTGTGTTTCTGCAGTAACGTAGCTGTGTTCGAGCTGTACGCGACAACGACATCGTTTTTTTTCATATTCCAACATATAATCACAAGACGTGGTGACGGCACACTCAAGTATTTTCAACTTATATTAATGCCGCCACCAACACAGGAGACAATACAATACTCATTTTCACCTGAGCGAAGTGAGGAAAGTCGTGTAAAGTGCCTTTCCCAAGGGCACAAGATCGGTGGCATGTCAGGACTCGAACCCGGGGCCTCTTGGTTCCGAGTCGAGCACTCTTCCCGTTACACAACACGACCCCACATTGGTCTTCAGGACAGGACAGAAGCTGGGATGAGGCACCTGAAGAAGACGACGCTGCTAAAGGGGCCCGCATGCCCTTTTCCGTACAGTGTAACTGGTCGTTTTAATTCAACGTAGAGCGTAGACGGACCGCGAATTCAACGTAGACCGCATTTTACGTAGAGCGTAATATTCTCCGTGTGTTTAATTCTACGTAATGTGTTGTAGCCACTTGTAATTTAACGTAAAGCGTAATATTAATCGAGATGTTTCCTGAATCCAGCGTAATGTGTAGCCAGCTCTCAGAATTTAGCGGAGAGCGCTGTCAGGACCTCCCATGCAGACCCCCCCCCCCTGCTATTTTCCGTTCCCTACTATATAAAACGGTCGTCGAC